ACGAGCTTACTGGCACATCGCCATTGAAGGGTTCGAAAAGGAAGTGTTCACTGAAAGATGGTAAATGTTCACAATTTTCTTCAGGTCGGATATGACTCCTTTGAAAGCGACGAGAACGGCCCCCTCCCACCCGAAGGGAGTCTTCAAAGTTGTGGGTAGCGAGGATGAAACAGGAAAATGAACTATCAAAAGAACAAAGCTGACCCTCCCCCCTTCAACATCTGAATCGAGCCCACCAGCTTTTAATCCCCACCGAAAGATGTGCCCTGCCTGGAAACGGTGCTGCATGTTCGGGCACATCGACCGTGACTGTTGCTATGACTGTTTGTTGTGTCTACTGTGTCTTTACTTGTACTTTTCAGTCTGTACTGTATCTGGACTGGAAAATTTGTACTCTGTGGAAACGCAGCTCAACTAATCTTGTGACATTAAACGTCAACGATGACATTTTCGTAAGGCCTTGCACTTGATAATGGGTGCTTAACGGCCGGAAGTCTAGTGAACACCTTCATGTCACATGATAGTGCCCTTTGCAAGAGTGTCTTGCAAATGGCAATGCCGTATAATGGCGTTGTCCTCGCGGAGAAGAAGAGCTTTCCACGAATTCGAGCGCGATGTGACTCGGGAGGGACCATTCTTCAATGAGGCTGAGATACGTCATGTTTGCTCGTCTGCACCCTCTTGCCGAGGCAGCTTGACAGGTTCTCGCCTGGCTTTATCGCACCGCAGAAATAGTATATCTACTTTCCTGCACTGGAAGAGCATGGCATGGCTTTGTCGCGTCAGTACTGGTTTGTCGAGCAGTGGCTGAGCTTCGCTGGAGAGCTGTCTCTCCCAAGGCATATTGCTCTCAAAGTTGCTAAAAACGTCAGCTTTCAGACAGTTTTTGGAGGCAGTAAGCATCCAACAGAACCGAGGGCGCTAATAGAAGTGATGAGGTATTTGAAGGACTCTTTGGACGAAATCGAAGGCGAATTGGTCGCAGTGGAGATAACGACCTACCCAGACGACTGTGATTGACGTCATCCGAATAGAATTACCCTTCCTGAAACTGGCCCATGCTAGAGCTGTTTCCCCTAGAGGATTGGGTAAAAGTCCTCATTTCCATTATGAACGTTCTAATTCGCATAAGGAGCCCTGTAAATGTCCCTACCAAATTCCTGCATCACATTCTTAGGTCCTAGGTTTACAAAAGGAAAGAGGCCCCCTGGTGGGCGCTCTAATTTCATAGGGTGATTCTATTCAAATGACGTTCGTCCCAGTTCTGCACAGGGAAACCTTCAAATGCCCCTCCGAGAGTATTAGCAGCAGCTCGGCTGCAGTAGTGA